AGATAATCCTATGCAAGGTGAAACATGTTTACTACAATTAAATCCTTAGTTCTTTTCTTAACATGTGTTTTATTTTTCATCAATTTGCGTCCGTTTGGTTCCATCATTAAGGATTTTAGTTCGGAAGACCTGCCAATTTGTTTGCTTAGGAAGTATGAGAAGATATCCCTACGCTTCATTAAAGCTGAATTGGATCATCATTTTTTACACAATATACTATTAGCAACCATTAAACAGAAAATTAGTTTACATATCAAGCTAAAGAGAGGTAAGATTATAAAGAGGAAGAGAGTTTAAGACTAAAGGAGGAACAGTATATACACGAGCGTAGGATGTGTATGAAGAGGATGGAATAAGTGGACGGAAGGAAGAGCGAGAAAGAGGAGGAAGAATATGATGAAGATGATAAGGCCAAATAAAAAACATTATTGTGTTGGTCACGCCCGTCGGCATTTTATATATAGATTTTAAAATGGTCTTTGTTGTATTTTTGTGTATTTTCTACATTTTAGGCATAAACAATTTTGGGTTAAAAAAAAAAAAAAAAAAAAAAAAAAAATTTCTATCGACCTACCCATTTTTGGGGTTTTCCCAAAACGTGGCGAACACTATTTTTTTTTTTATTGGCCTAATGATGATTATGAAGATGAAAATCATGAGGAGCTATACTCTAATCGTGTTATATGGACTCGAATTATAGAGAAGTATGGAGGAGGAGGAAGGGGAAGATGGAAAAAAGAACGGAGAAGGAGAAGACAATGATGGTGATGATGATGATGATAATGAAGATGGTGAACATCTAGATAAAAGCACGATTACGGGAAGCTGTTCTAATCGTGTTATGGATGAGAATATAGAGGAGTATGATGATCATGATGATGATGTCTTATGATGAGGATGATGATAAATGACGATGAGGATGAATGATGAATACGCACGATTGAAATGGTAGTAATTTCTTTTCTTTACATTTTCTGATTAATAATAGTTTGGAATCTGTTAACAAGTGTGTTAATGACACTCTAATTCAACTACATCCTAACCTTACATCACATCATCCATTAGAGCACAACCTGAGTGTCATTAACACACTCGGTAGACAAGAAACTTACCAAAGTCTTCGTAAAGATCGGATAATTGATCTAGTACATTAAGCATCAGTGTGACTGAATTATTATCTAGTATATAATCAATGGGAGAATGGCACTTTCCCTTCATGACATATTTGGAACCAACGGCGGCGGAACGTTTTTTGAAAGGGGGGATGCATTTCATAAGGACCAGTATGCGAGCGAAGCGAGCATGTAGGCTCGGTGTCAGGGGCCGCCAAGGACCCTAGTGGGAGAAGCTACGGATATTTTACGAAGTTTGGTGAATTTTATAAGTTATTATATAGGCATCAAGCTACTGTAATATGATTTTATATTTGTTGTAATTTCCAGTTACGAATCAAGGAATTCGAAATAGAAGGGCCCAGTGAGGGTACTTTCACAGATAGAAGATCTATACTAACTCAGCCCCACCGTGATTGGGACTGATGTAAGAAAATTTGTGATTATGGCACCACTAAATGGCCCAAAATTGCACTTCCAGACATAAAATTTGAATATAATTATCTTTATATCTCCATTTTTTATTGAACAATTTAGGGGTGTGGGGGCGGGCCGATTGGGTCCTCTTGAATCTGCCACTGGGTACTTTAGCAGACGGAGAATATATACCACCTCAGCCCCACCATGGTTTGGGTAAGAAAATGTGTTATTTTCGTGAGTGTTATTCTTGATAGCCTATGGGTTTCCAGACGAAAACTTCACTTTCCCCCGATGGATAAAAATTACCCTTTTATCCCGTAGTAAAATATTTTATAGAATTATATAGAAAATTTATCTAAGAATAATTTCTCTATATAAAACCTATCCATTCTCTATAGAGATAGTTCTATAGAAAAATAATTCTATAAAAAAATGATCCAAGATTTTGTCTCTATACAAGACCCATCCATGCTCTATAGAGATAGTGCTATAGAAATATAATCCTATAGATAATTATTATTATTATATTATTATTATTCTATGCTTTGGTAATTGACACTTGTACAGGGAATATCTCCCTTTGTTAACTACCATCTCATGTGAGGAAATAAAATTATGAATGATGAATAAAAAATACTAATGTCATATAGCCGTCGGAAGCATTTTGCAAGTGGTCCGGCCATTAGTCAGAGCGGGGGATGGGGTACTTAACAATTTTGGTTGTAAAAAGACCCGCTACCACCCCTATCCACGGATACAGGATTTTAAAATTAAAATTAGTGGGGTCTGAGAGTATCTACTCCAGACCAACGATGGTAGTTGAACAAAATTTTTTGCAACTCTGCCCAGAAATAGATGCTGACAGCGTGTAGGGCCGCTAGCCACTTCCCTCAAGGGGCAGCCATAAGAAATAAAGTTAGCGTGGAGATAGAGAGTCTATGTAGTTGGAAATATGGTACTTATGGATGCCTGGAAATAGAAGCTTGCAAACCTGTCACCACCCATTCCCATCTGGACACAGAATGTGGTAGAATTAACCAAAATAAAATTCGTATGACTATATTTTACATCTTGGGAATAAGATAAACGTTAGGTCTACTGCGAATGATATATTGTTCAAGATTTAATTAAGTTGCTTATTTCTTCTTGAATAATTAAGTGCACGAACACGAATTTTATATATTTAATGCAAGGAATAACAATGACTATTATACTATAGTTTTATTTACACGACGTGAAG